CTCAGCCCATCGGTTCAGCCTGTCCAAATAAGGTTTGCACTGTTGTATTTCTTTGTTATGCATTTTTGGCTACTACTAATGCATATAAATAGAATATAGAACAATTTATCACTACCTGTGAGTATTGTTTGAGATTTGCACCAACTGAAAAATTCATTTTTTTGTGTGTGTATGTGTTTCTGTCAAACTGTCAATAGGGAACTGATAGAAGTGGGCTATGAAGATGCAAATCTGGCATTTAAATTGAAAGGCTACATCACAAATGCAAACTACTCTGTGAAGAAATGTATATTTTTACTCTTCATAAACCGTAAGTTTAAAACAAAAGTACAGCATGTTGTATAGTCACGTTGCTTACAAAATAAGCATAAGAACAAAACTTTCTGAAGAACTACGAAATGTATGAGCATTCTTCAAAACCACTAAGAATAAGTATTACAGTTATTTGTAGATCTTAAGGTGTTTTTCTGCTTGTAATGTGGATCGTGCTTTGCGCTCTAAATAGTGGAAAGCAGCTAAAACTGGGCCTAAAGAAACGTAAGCTTGTGCGGTATCATGGTTATGATTGTGTCCTGCCAGCTTACACAGAGGAGTGTCTGTATCAGCACTGGCACGGGATGCAACAAACCATGACTGTATGAAATAATGAAAAGGTAGTCTGGTTATTTCAGTATTTGTGCAAAAAATACTTCTAAATAGAAAACACACTAAGAAGATATTGCCTGTTCCTGGTTTTATAAGAATAAATAGGCCTCAGGAAAAACAGGTATAATGAATGCCCTTTGAAGATACAAAGTGTGAAGATGTTGGTCTGAAGGCGTAGTTGGGGCTCTCTGAAAATAGCATTTTGTTCTGTGTTTCAGATCGACTGGTAGAGTCAGCCGCTTTGCGGAAAGCCATAGAAACCGTGTACGCTGCTTATTTGCCAAAAAGTACGCATCCATTCCTATACTTAAGGTAAAGTAACGGGAAGAAGTAGCCTTTTAATGCTATCGTGTAGGATATGGCTAGGGTGAGTAGGTTTAGAAGGACATTTGTGTTCCTGATAGTAGTCTTAAGCAGTGCACTGAAGTACTTAATTGCCAGACAGGAGATAACTAAATCATTATAAAGAAATCTTAAAAAGATGGGCCTTATTTTCAGAAATAGCTAGTCTCTGTAATCTCAGCTTACGTCCTCTCATATTATAGATACTCTTCACTTAGGAAATCAAGTTACTCTTGGAATACAGTGGAGCATTTTGGACCAGTCAGATCACTTATTCCAAACTCATTAATGTTTTACCTTGCTGGGATTTATATTTGTATTTTTAACAGTTACTGTTCTTAGTATGCTAATACAACTAAAAGTGATTTTTTTTTTTTTAAACTCAAATATTAGCTAAAGTTGAATAGAAGCTGTCCTTTAAAAATTGAAGAATATGGCATAGAATGGAAACCCTGGCTTTGTAATTGCTAAGCAACTGAATCTCTCCTTTCACCAGTCAAACACTGATATCCAGTGCTAACAATAAAGTTCTTGCATTGCAGCATTTAATGGAACTGCTGCATGAATTATTGCTACATGACAGGGCATCAGAAGTCATTAACTCATGAGACCCTGCAAGTAAAAGATAATTCTAAAAGCTGGTTTTTGTAGTAGTACGATGGAGAGATCAATTTAAGTTCGTCACCTATGTAAGCTGACTATGGTGAATTTGGAATAGAGTTCTTCAGAGTAATTATTTTTAATGCACTGCAGATTTGTTTGGTATAACTTTAAGAGGTTGCAGGACTATTTTGGCTTCTCTGCATGTAACGGCCCCAAGTCTGACAAATTTTATACTGAACCAATTTGTGCCCTCTCTGCCATCCATGGGAAATTTTAGATTAACTTCTAAAATGTTTTCCAGCCTGGAAATAGCCCCCCAGAATGTAGATGTGAATGTGCACCCTACAAAACATGAGGTCCATTTCCTCCATGAAGACAGTATTCTCGAGCGTGTGCAACAACATGTGGAGAGCAAATTATTGGGCTCCAATTCTTCGAGGATGTACTTCACTCAGGTGAAAAGACATCTGAAGTGACTGCAGCTCTGCACTATTTTAACTGTCGTGGATAATCTGTACAATCTATGTGGTGATTAATAGTTATCAATATTATACTGATAGCTTGAGATCTCTGTTTCCGGGATGAAATTACTTTAATAAACCAATGTTAACAATGAGGGAAAAGAGAAAAAAATGTATGAAAACATTTCAAATACCTTTCTGTCAAGTATCTTATCAGTCTTTTTCATTGTACAAGTACATTAGCCTTCACAAGTGGTAAACTGTTCTTTATTCTGCCCTGGTTTATGTGAAAGACGTGATGAGGAAACTCTTCTGTGTATTTGACAACACTTTGGATTTAATCTAAACAGAAAATTCAGGAAGATTCCCTAACTTCTGTTTGTGTAGAGCATAGTTTAAGAATTATAACTATGATCTGTAAAAAACTCACAAATTCCCTTGTGAGTTTTTACATTAAAGATTCTCCCTCTGGGACAAAGGAGTGCTAACTACGAATTTTGTTAACTGGTGAGATTATGCCATTTATGCTATGTGGCTACCAAGTGCAAAGCTAGCAGCCTGTTTAAGAAGTTGACAGTGTTTGATGCTGTAAAAAGTGTGGCTGATCTTTCTGTGGTTTGTTTTTGTTGTTGTTGTTGAAACTCTTCTCTTTACTTCCCCGTATCTCAACGAAGACGTTGCTTCCAGGGGCCGATTGCTCTTCCAGTGAGGTTGTAAAAGCAGCAGCAAGCTCTTCTGGGGTTACCAAAGGACCCAGCGATAAAGTTTATGCACATCAGATGGTCCGCACAGATTCCCGAGAGCAGAAATTGGATGCTTTTCTTCAGCCAGTGAACAACCCCTTGAGTACAGGCCCCGCTGAAGCGACAGCAGAGGTGAATGCAGGACCTCCGGAGGGTGCGGTTAGGCCACAGGATGCTGAAATGGAAGATGTCGGTGATGTAGTTGAAATTGCTGATGTTCAGGAGGACACAGCGAGGCCTGGGGGGTCGAGTGAGAGAGGACGCCTGTCTCCTGAGACAGTGCCGCCTCGGTAAGTCTCACTGTTCCTGAGGTCAAGGCAAGGCTACCTATTTATTTCATGGCATGGCCATGAAACTGAAGTTTTTTTCTCATCTCTTTGCAATGCTGCTTTTTCTGAAGGAAAAATTTCCTTAGAACATTTCCATGGCATTTTATTGAGAAATTAAACCTCCATCTGTGAACTGTAAATTATATTACTTGTGATAAATTTTGTAACTGGAATGAGATTTCCATGCATACTGAAAGGCAGGAAGCAGTATAAATAATGGCAGTAACTTCAGTTTACGGAGATTATTCTGCTCTGTCTCTCTTTGGAGGCCCTCCTTTTGTGGAGGGGTGAGGGATAGAAACTACATCACTGAATTTTGCAGACGTTACCCGAGCAAAGATAAAAGTGCGGTAATCTTTTTACAGCTCCTGCAGAAGTTGTTATGAGAGGCCAAAGTCTTCTGAGGGAATCTGATTCCCCCCAGTATTACAGAAAAATGATCATGAAAAAGAATCATTAGAAATATAATTTTTTGATGTGTTCTTTAGAGCCCAATTCACATGGTGCTTAAACAACAAATGTCTGTGATTGGTATTAGAGCTGCAAATGCTCTTAGGAACTACCTTTTCCTAACAAATTATGCCTTAGAAGTAAAATAAAACAGGCTCTTTGGGAAGCTTTGGGAAACTTTCTGCATTTCCAGTGTTAATGTACAGCAAGTGCACTGAGCATCCCATCTGCTGGTGCGTTTTGCGTAAGTGATAGGAGAATTGAACACAGTTCCTTTTGTGTTGGTATTGCAGAAAGAGACCACGGGAAGACGCAGACATAGAAATGGAGAAAGATGACACCAGACAGGACATGACTGCGGCCTGTACCCCTAGACGAAGAATTATCAATTTGACCAGCGTATTGACCCTCCAGGAGGAAATCAGTAACCGGGCACATGCAAGTAAGCAAGCCTTTTGCTTCTCAAGGTTACTGGTATTCCACCAGCTAAACAGGATTGTTTGAACTGCTGAGGAAAAAGATATTTAGAAGGTGGCCCAGGGAGCTCACTGCTGCTAAGTGAGCTTTTAACAGAAATATTTGTTAAGTGTCAAGGGCCAAACTTGGACCAGGCAGCTGCTGTACTGAGCCACACTGGAGGGCTGTTTTAACAACTTCCACGTACGTTGTTAGTTGGTAGATGTTCTAGGCTTTCTGCATATTTGGCAAACCTTAACTTGCATCATAGCTAATAATGCTATAAAGTCACAGCTTGAAAAACTATATTCTTTTGTAATTTTCAAACAAATGGCAGAAATACGGTCACTACAAAAATTTTGCTTAGTTGCATGACTGTGAAGTAGACTGGGATGGGCTTGATAAACTCAGTTTTTACTTACTGCTTTTGCTTTTCGTCTTCATTTGTATCTGTTGCACTTAGATGAAATTATTTCAGTTGCCTCCAGAGTCATACTGAGTCACGTAACACATATTACTCAGTTAGTGTAACTGTTGGGAATTTTGTGTTCTGGGGTTTTTGTTGAATTTATATTGACTTTTCTGGTAATAAGAATTGGGGAAAAGCTCCACAGCTAAAATGGCTAGACTAACAGCCACCTGTAATAAATAACCTTTTTATCAGTTCATGATCTTTAGACAGCATGTAATTACATTGTACTTGTGCTCCAGAAAAAGTTTTTAATTAGGCTGGTAATTCTGAGCTGGTGATTCCATACCTTACTGTCACTGTTTAAATAGTGAAATCAAACAGTTGTCCTTGAGCCATAAAATGTCCAAAACTGTGTCAAAATACGTGGTAGAACTTGCACAATTGCTTGAGGTTATGTCTTGTCTTCGCTTTTTGTGGAGTGCCTAAAATGAACTCATAAGAAAAGTCAGATTCCATAATATGTTTTTAAAATATATGTAAACAAGAAGGCCAGAAACTTACTTTGGAAAAGAAAAATAAAATAAATTATGGACCTATTCTATCATGCTTTCAGAATGTAGTCTGACAGTATTAGATTTTGTTGCAAAGTTGTTTCACGTCTGCAGTTTTCTTTAAGGCATGACTGTGCTTCCATACTTATCTCCTGTGGCTAGAAACAAATTTTTAAGGGCTATTCAAGTCAAACACAGGGATTTTTTAAAATTTGAATTTGTAGTTAAACTTTTATGTAACTATACTTATGTTTTCATATATATGAAGTGTATGCACACAAATGATTCATGTTCAAAACATGGATAGTTGGTAGCACAGACTTATGAGAAGCAGGGGTGCAGTAGCAACTGAACAGTAATCTGAGACTTTAACACTAAAAAGACACAGATGACTCAACAAGATACATTAGGGCAGGGTTGCATATATATGAAATTACATCTTTTTGTTTCTTCCCCGCCCCTTCAAATGTTTCAGATCTTCAGGAGATGCTACGTGATAACTCATTTGTTGGCTGTGTCAGCCCTCAGTGGGCTCTGGCCCAATATCAGACAAAACTGTATCTTCTCAATACAACAAAGCTCAGGTAAAGAAGCTCTTAGCTGTTTGGCAGTGGAAATAACTACAGAATACCAAGCTAACTAGAAGAAAAAAAAATGCCAGCTACTGTATTGTGTGCTCACAGATGGGAGAAGGGAATGACTTTTTATTTGCTTCATGATAATCTGTAGTAGCAGCTGGTCTGCAGCACACTGTATAAAGGTAAACAAGCAGAGGTTTCAGTAAAGTCACTTAAAATCTATCCAGTTGCTTCTAGAGAAGCTGCAGGATGTGACCGTAACACACAGTTAGTATTTTTGCACATGAACTCTTACTGGGCCAGCTACAGCGTTTGTAGCAAGTAAGAGAATATACTTAAGATTTGACATGTCTGTTTCCAAGCTCCTGTGCATCTCTTGCAGTGCAGCAAAGGATTAAAGAGGTTGAAATAAAGGTGTCTGGGAATAAACCGATAGAGGCTGCATGCTTGAGTATGTAACAGTTCTGCACCAGTGGGGGTGATGTCAGATTTAACTGTAAACATCTAGATAGCATGTGTTAATCTTAAACTGTTTAAAGTAAGATCTTTGTTAATATGAATGGATATGCACATGTGATATTTCCAAGATGACCCTTACTTTATCTCTTAATTATGGTAACTTGGAGATACATGATCCTGTCAGTATGACTAATTTTTGCACTTCAATTTAGCCAAGAACTCTTCTACCAGATACTTATTTATGACTTTGCAAACTTTGGAGTCTTAAGGTTGTCTGTAAGTATAATTTTACATTATATTCTAGATTTTTAAAAAAATTATTTATTTACAGTAAGACTGTCCCAGACAAATGTATAGTTTTATAGGTGGAGTTTTGTCCACTACAAGAGTGATGTTTTGTTTCTTTTACAGTAATAGAACGTAGAAAACTTGTTAGTAATTTTGTAGCTACTACTGTGAGCTGTCATCCTGGCCGCTTGTTATTAGCGTCACTTCTAGATATTCCCAAAGTTTTGCTGTAGCTCATTACATTGGGACAAGTAATTAATTATAACAGACAGTCTGTCAGAAATACAGTGTTGAATGCTAGCGCTTTTTCTGTAAATACCACACCAGTCTGCAGGATTCTGGATGGCACAGAATCGTATCAAAAAGAAATCAATACATTTTAGACTCATTACGATAAGCAGAACTGGTTGCTCTGCAGGCCAGCAATAGTATAGTACAGTTAATTTATATGTGAAGGAAGAAGCTGCAGATTTTCAGTAGTGTGTTGATTGTTAACAACTATTTTGCCGTCTGCATTTTTAGGAGCCAGCTCCTCTATATGAGCTTTCAATGCTTGCTTTAGAGGATCCCCAAAGTGGCTGGACAGAAGAAGATGGCCCAAAAGAAGGGCTTGCTGAGTACATCGTGGACTTTATGCTAAAGAAGGCTGAAATGCTGAAAGATTATTTTTCTCTTGAAATTGATGAGGTGACTGCTGCTCTTATTTCTGACAGTAAATGGTGTTGGTAGCAGATAACTGCAGTAGTTTGCTTCCACTGCTTACTGGAGCTAGGTCTTAGTAAGATTGAGGTAGCTTACCTCTTTCATTAAAAATGCTCAGAACTTACATTGCTTTTAGAATGGGATTACTCAAAGTAGTTTATATTTAATTAGCTACCAAATAATTTAGTCATTGTGTGTGTGTTAGAGAGAGAAAGATTTGTGTAGACAATGGCTAGAGGTAGAGGAGGAAGCAGAATTTGGATCTCCCTGAGCTGAGAGGTTTAAAGCCAGGCCTCCCTCACAAAGTTAACCACCATCACTAACCTTCTTCCTGCAATGTCTGCCTGGCATTGCTTACTAAGTCTGGTAAGAATCAGTCTTACAATAGGTAACAGTTTTGGTGTGTTTACTGCAAGAAAGAACATTTCTTTTGTACTGAAGCAGCAGTATTGTCTTGCAGGAAGGAAACCTTATTGGGTTACCACTTCTGATAGACAACTATGTTCCACCACTGGAAGGACTGCCTATGTTTATCCTTCGCTTGGCCACAGAGGTATGATCTCTTCATGATTTCACTTATTCACAAATTATTTTTTCTCTTTAGGAAAGAATGAAGTGAATCAAATAATTAATCATAAGCTGCAAAGGAAAGCCTGGAGTTGGTTAAATGTACTGTTACACGCTCCAAACATTTTTGCTGTGGTTGCTGATTAGTCATGTTTTGCCTCTGCATCTATAACTAATAATTGAATGAGAATATATTTGGATTTGAAAGCCTCCACTTCTGCCTCTTTATATTTTTTTGTTTGTTCTGTGCCTTTATCTTATCAGCTCAGAAATGGCCAAGGCATTATTACAACTTTTCCATACTACAAATTTCTATCAAGTCTCTGACTGCTATTTGGATTCTACTGTTTTTCTTGTAACAGGTAAACTGGGATGAAGAAAAGGAGTGTTTTGAAAGCCTAAGTAAAGAAATAGCTATGTTCTACTCCATTAGAAAGCAATATATAATAGATGAAGCCAGCCTGACAGACTCTCAGGTATGACAATATGTAACTAGTTTTACAAACTAACAACTAATGCCACACAGGAAACTTCTTTTTCAGCTGTAGACTTCTATTTCCAGCTCTTGCTTTCAGTGAATTGAATCAAGTAGCAGTGTGTCAAGATTCTGAAAGACTGTGGCTTTCATTTTCTGAAGTAGTATATGTATTGAGAACCTTTTAACTTTGGGTATTGTAGTGTACTTAATATTACAACACTCCTTGGCCTCTGAGTTTGGGATGTATTTTTTTAACCTGATGTGATAAATTTCTATAGCAGAATAAGGATGCATATACATTAAAAATGTAGTCTGCTTGTGTCTAAGTATCTGCTTAATCATTCAGTTAAGCTAGCCCATTCTGCAGGTGACTTTTCAGAGCTTAAAATTACCTTGACTGTATAGAATTAACTTCCTTAATACCAGCAGAATTTGACAATCACTGTAGTCTTACATAATAAAGTTTCTTAAGGAGTGCTCTCCAATTTCAGTTTGTTTGACCTTTTTTGTTTTTCTGTATTTCTGTTTCAGAATGAAGATTCTGACTCCGGTTCAAGAACATGGAAATGGACTGTGGAACATGTACTTTACAAAGCTTTTAGGACTCATCTTTTACCTCCTAAGCATTTCACAGAAGATGGCAACATTTTGCAGGTTGCTAACCTGCCTGACCTGTACAAAGTTTTTGAGAGATGTTGAGCAAGTAGTTAATTGTATAGACTGGTACATAAAGCATTCTGGTTTATTTAGCAGAGGATAAAAGTAAAATCGCAATTAGAGAAAGAGGGGATTCATTATCACACTAACATGTACATACTAGCAAATGGTGTATTTTTCCTTCTATTAGGAAAGAATGAGAACAGTTTTGGCTATGTCTAAACCCATTTGAAGTTCATAAAATAAAATCTTTGCCATTAAGCAATACGCTAATAGAATGTAACTTCTACTGAAGAATATTAATTGAATAAATTATGAAAGTAGATAGTTTAACTTAACTTAAAGTACTCACATTTCAATTAAGTTTGCTTCTTGAGTGAAAATGGAAACAGGAATCCTTGGACATTTTGAAAACAGCTCTGGTACAAGATCAGCATTAACATTCTGGACTGCAGAGATCCTGAAACCTGCTTTGCTTTGAGATGTACTCCTGAAGGCCAGCAGTTTGCAACAGGAAAGGATCAGATATGAGTACCAAAGAATGATTCCTCAAATGTTTGGCTTCTGCTGGTCTCAAGCACAGTAAATATTTCAGGGTTGCCGCTGCAAGTGTGCTGTTCATTTCCCACTTACGATGTGCCAGCTTGAAAAGAGTGGAAGTTCTTAATAGCATTCACTCTCTGTAGAGAGTAGGCTATGGGCAAAAACCACATGGTTTCAGAAAACACTTTCTTTCTTTTACTGTCCTCCCTTTGATGGCAGTCCTGTCAATGAGAACTGCTGGAGCATTGTGTCTTCTTGAGCCAGCCCAGCCCCACGGGGAATGTGGATATGTGGCTCACCCTGCACAGGCAGAAACTGGCCTCAACCTACTTATTACTTTGTGGGCATGGGGGAGCACCATGATGTAGCATATAGGGACTGGTAATGGGAATCACATCTGTATTGGGATTCCCCTGTATAGTGTCCTTGCTACAGCATCCTTGTCTGGTTATTTCACCATGCTGTTGTATCAGTCTAATAAATCCAAAATGCATGTAATGCCTAATATACTGAATAAGTAAATTTGATATTAAACAGCAGTGATTATTGATCAGTGGTGTGCACTCTCACACCATGTAACAAATGCCAGCTTCTGCAGGTTCCTGATCCCCCACAAAACTAACCACCCAGAAAATCTTAAGTATGTTAAGTTATGTATGTTCATCTTCTTTTTGGTATTTCATGGAAACCTGATTATCTAGTCCCAAGCTGCTGCCACAAAACTGAAAAATACTTGTAACAAGGCTGAAATATGTTTCGTTTTTTCCCAAAAGTTTATGTAGTTCAGAGCTTTAAGCAACCTGATACAGATTAATTTCTTCTTAATGGGAAAAATTCTTGCAAAATGTATTTTGAAATTATGATTGCAATAAATCATCCATCAAAACATTCCTAAGCCTGACATGGATTACAGAATGACAAGCAGCTAATGGTATCAGTTTGGTCAACAGCCTGCTGCATTTTAGGGGGGCAGTGGGGTTTTTTTTGCTTTTAGATTCTTAAATGAAACATACGTAAGACTCATTTCAACTCTCCTTTTCAAGCCAAATAAAAAGAAAACCCAGCACATTACAAACAGGAAGAAGCAAACACTGAGAATAGGCTGCATTTCTTAGATTCCCAGAGGAATTCCATATTGCATATATAGGAAGGTATTCAACTAAAGTCACGCTCCTAGCTGAAGTTCATAGGTTTAATGGAACTTTTGACCTCCTATCCCAGATGCATTTTTCTCACTGAGTTTAATATTTGGTTAGGAACACTCCAGCACTGTTAAGTGACAGGTTTTGATGTATTATTTTCTACTAATGGTTTATTACCTGCATCCTCTGGAACAGATCTTGAATATTCTGAAGTCATGTAAGTGACAGACTCAATGCTTATTTTTTTCATCCAGCACTCATGTAAGAGTTTTTTAGAAATAGCACACTGGAGCCAGTGTCACCACTTGCTGCCTTCAATGTACATGGATTTTCAATGTGAAGGGAGATGGAGTGCCTGTCTTTTAGTCATACAGTTACAGAACTGTTATCTGGAGGAAAAAGGCAGTTGATGATTTTGGTGTTAAAGCTTGATAGCAACTGAAGTGAAATGAAACAGCTGTAAAAGCATTCTCAAAACATCTGCTTAAATGTAGGTCCTGCAGACTTCCATAGTCATCACCTTCATCTCCACCTTTGCGTCGCCTTTCCCCTTGCTCTGCCCCCAGAATGGTCTTTTCTCAGTGCTGTAGCTCAAATCCAACAGGTCAACTAAGCAAGTGATCATGATTCAAGCCCACTTCTAAGAAATAATGTCCCAGCCTGCTTGCAATGTCTTATACCCAAAGCTGGTGAGTTTGACAGCTGCAGTAGCTTACAAGCCCCGGCTGCTAGTTTGCCGATTTGTTGAGACTGCATAAGGAGAAGCCAATGTATGTTTTAATGCTTTGAGGACTGGCTTTTAGTGGAAAAATCCTGTAAACTGAAATTACTACTTCAAGGAAAGTAGTAATGACTGCAAGAGACAGACCACAGCCCATCCTGTTTTCTACCCACTGTGCTTCTGTTCCACAGCAGTGGAAATACCACAAAGCAATATAGTCCATACGCATGAGTTAACGTGGGAAGATTATGTTGGTACTTAATATTTGCTGGGCAGGTTGCTAATAAAACCTAATGGCTGTATTAAGAAAGCAACAACACACATTCCTCTTATAGGCAGAAATAAGGTGTTACCTAAACCTCTTTTGATCAAGCATTGGTCAAGCACTTAAGATCTGTATCTGAAAATACATACACACCTAAACGAACGAACTACTGACTGCCCTTCCTTTCACTACTGGGATAATACCAGTGTTTGCAAAGGCTCCAGTTTCCTCCATGAACCTGAAGAACATCCCCCATGAGAACAAGAGTGAAAACTAAATTATTTCAAAAAGCTCCTTGCATCCTTTTGATATCACATATACAGCAAATAAAGGATGTTCCACTACCACTGCATCCCTACAGGCGACCAAACTGCACACCACCACATTTTACACAAAATCTATGCAAACTGGAATCCTCACTACCCAATAAGAAATAAAGGAGTGGAACGTGCAGATTTTCAGTTAATAAAGCAACAAAATATCATAATGCATTACCGCGTTTTAGCATCTTTATTTTAGAAAGTGAACACATCCATTAAAAAAGAAAATGCATGGAGTTAAAAAAGTAAACATAAAACTTAAGACAAATTTGCAACAACATAAAATAATTTTACCTAGTGAGTCCCAACAATCATTAAATACACTTCCACCATAGAGAAGTTTTACTTCATTAAATTACCAGTCTCTTGATTAGGTACACAAGACAACACTTTCCAGTAATTACCTAGTCATTAGAAGATCAACTTCAGGATTCACTGAATAATAAAATACATCATGGACAAATATTTTCATGCCACCTGGGAGGCAACCTAATATACATATGTCAACAAGGTACACCTTTGTGAGGTATTACAGTACATGGGAACCATTCCCTTTGCTTTCTAATGAATAAATTCTCCTGTCAGCAGCTCCATCAGCAAGTCAGCCACAGCCTCTTGCCAGTTTCCAAACCCCAACAACTTCCCTCAAGAGATTTTCTTTCTGTAACAGATAACACAAGTCAGGATGAATGAAGATGCAAGTCAAGACAACAGCTATTGAAAGCGAGGAGGCTAGAAAGAAACAGTCATCCACTTTTCCAGATGAGCACTAAAGACTTCAAATCAGAAGCTTCAGCTTCTTAAGAACATTTAATACCTCCTCTCACTCGAGCTTCATGGTGAAGTGAAAGGATGAGGCAAGATAATGCCAAGAGTAAACAAAATAATTTCCAAAATAAGGACATAATCTCTCACATTGAACCAAAAGTATACTACAAAAATCTTAAGATGCAGCTACTCCAACGTAACCCATTTGTAGTATTAAACAGACTGAGGAGGGGAAGCATTGAAGTAGTTTTGTCCATGCAATCTTCAATATAAGTTTATTTGTGCTAGACCTAAATGAATTAAAATCTCTTCGTAGCACTTTTGCATTGCCACCTCCAAAGAACTCTCTCTCCCTGCTTCAAAAAAAAAGAGGAGCTTTTACACATCTGATCCACCACGCTTCTTTCCAGAAGAGACAACAAATAAATGCTTTTTACACTGTACTGCAGAAATGCTCACATCCCTGGGCCTGGGTTAGCCAGAACTCAGCAGTCTCAAGAGCCTGGCAGGGTTTCCTGCTTGAAGGTTGCTGAGACAGACAGACAGACTGGGTTCAAAGATGAACTCCTAAAAGTTAGCCCACTGTTCAAATCAGTTGGGAAGGAATTACGAAAAAAAATATTTTTAGGAATATTCAGGTTCTATGCAAAGGAACTTACCTGCTTTCTAATATTTGCTATACAACTGGTTTTTCACTGTCTTGCTTTTCTTCAGAATCTTCATCAGATCCTGAATAGAAAGACAAAAAAGCTATTAGATCAGTTGAGAGAACAAGGAAAAAAAAAACCCCAAAACAAAAAGAAAGGAGACCACCACTGGTAATGGCTTATCAAAAGCCAACTCAAAGCAACTATTGCCTATAAAAATTTTCTTTTTATGTAATGCTTCTTATCTTTCCAGATTTTTCAAATTGAAGGGGTTTTTTTAACAGTCATCCAACCCAAAACCCAGCACTGGGATCATTCTTGAGACACCTACCCCGTCAATGGATTCAGTTAGCAAGTGTTTAAAGTTTTCACTCAGCACACGACCATCAACTCCACATTTGTCAAGCACATTTTCCTACTTACTACATCCTGCTCTTTGGAAGACAAGTCCAGAAGACACTTTCAAAGCAGCCAGAAATACTGCTTTACAAATTAATAAACTCTGTACCAAGTGTTCTGCCAAGAGATTATCTCACTGTAAGCCAGAAACCAAACAGTTCCTTCTGCCCATTTCTCCTCGTCCCCCTGCCTGCTCCCAGTTCTCTGCTGAAGGCCCCCAAAAGAAAGCTTCCCTGGCTATGTGCCAAGAGAGCTCCTGC